CCTTGAAGGCACAGTGAGGGAAACACTATCAACAACAGCTGTGCTATATTTTTTGTATATTTTGCAGACATTACTCTTTTTTTTCTTCCTTTCCCCTCTCCCATTTCTGCCTTAGTTTACGCTTTTGGTCTATACATTGTGTACGCGATTTACACATATTGCTGCTGCTTTAGTCTTTGTGATTTATGTAATAACTGTCTGCTATATTGTTCCTCTGTCATTTTAGGCTGCCGTTCTCTCTCTGCCTACTTTTCTTATTTTATTATTTATATAGCGCCATCAGATTCCATAGCGCTGTACTTTTCTTAGTGTACCGTCACCACTGACAGAGTAAATTCGGTCTCCTGCATTCTGATGGAATTTCAACATCTTAGGTGCAGTCAAAGACACGGAGGTAAAGATTTCAGTGTACTAGTCACCCAAGCCACTTATTTGAATGAAGTGGTGGGGGTGCAGTGGTCTTGTAGAAACTGCAAATCCACCTGCAGTGGCTGTCTTCCTAACAGCCACTAGGGGTGCTTCCGCTGCTCCGACCGAGTAAAATTCACGATGTAGCAGCTCACAGGAAAGCATTGATTTAATGAATCATAGGATGCATGCACATTACTTACAATGCATCAGGTCCACCTTGTTCCTCTATGATGAGCGCTGGATTGGACCTTGGCCAGAGAAGGTCATGCTTCCTTGTTGGCATCACAGGAGTTGGAGAGGTGATCAGAGCTTCCACTAATCACAAAAGGTGAGTAAATCCTTTTGTATTACACACAGGGGGGGAGGAGGGACGAGGAGGGAATGCAGGTTTGTATTGCACGTTAGAAAAAATAAATTTAGTTAGTTTTCAGCTTAGACAGCTTTCTTATTCTTGTTTATTTATGTTCTTTTACCCGTTTTAATATTTCTATTTTCTTTGAGGGTGATTCATTTTTGGTGAATTGTATATATTCTGTTTACTTATTGTATCATTGCGTCACTCTCTCCCTCCCTTGACATTGCCTGACTGCAATTACACAAACCAAGGCTGTCTCTGGCTGTTATTTTTATTAAACGTTGCCCGCTTACTTTGATATTGTTTGTTTTGAGATTGTTTTTAATCTATCGAAATAAAAGCTGTATTTTATCATTGTTATTTTGAAGCTGAGAATCTCTATTTTCATTACTTGGTTGGTTGTTTGGGGATACCCCCATCTGTTCCACATTATTACACTGTACTAGCTCTCTTCAATTTGTCTTCTTTCATAGTGAAACGCTGCACATACAGACTCCAGGCACCATGACCACATCAGACCACTGAATAGTAACCCTTTCATTCCATCCACTATGAGTACATGCACCTGTAATGCAAATAAGGCATATCTGCCAAGTGTCCTTGTGCAGGAGGTGCAGTCCTGTCTTTGGACACCAATTCCTATTTTGGGATCTTATACACAGTCTTTCTGTCATTATGGAGCACATTCTCACCAGGCTGGCACGCTTGGCTCAACTAAAGAGCAGAGACTGTATAGTAACAGAACATTTTTAGAGCTGCAGGGGTATTAATTAACTGCAATAGACTCATATGTCATAAATGTGTTTTCCGGTGCATTGATTCCATAAAAAAAGACAGGATGAAAGGATAAAAGTGTCAAATTGAGAATGTTCCATTGGATATGGGACTGTATGGTAAACCATACATCCCCCAATTATCCGGGCAGTGTTACAGCTTACATTACTTTGCATAGAAGTGTCATTCATTTTTTAATTTGTTTCTCTGCCTGTTGATGAGCAGTGCTGGAGCAAAGTGATAGTTAAATATGGCTAGGTTTAATTGGATTACATTTTTTAATTAATTGTTTATTTTTGCCGTGCATGATAATACAAGATACAGCTAGTGTGGCCCCAACAGCCATCAGGGAGTAGCGATCAACATTTGATAACACAGAGCAGTCAGGCAAATATGCATCATACAGGTACATTTTGTGATATCAGTTAATTGTGCACTTGTTTTTAGTGATGTGGTGTGAAAGTCAGGCTGGTTAAGACATGGTCTGTACCCAAACAAGGCCACTAGTGGCTTGTTAATGTTAGCAGGGGATTACATTTTTTTTAGTCCCCACTGAGAAATTAAATCAAATCAGTGTATACTTATAAATGGGAGGTGAAAGACTAGACTAGGTGTAGGCAACCTTCGGCGCTCCAGATGTTGTGGACTAGATCTCCCATAATGCACTTACAGCTATAATGCTGGCAAAGCATCATGGGAGATGTAGTCCAAACCATCAGAAGTGCCAAAGGTTTCCTACCCCTGGCCTAGACCATTAAATACCATTCAATACATCTGAAATGAACCTTTCCAGTTTACAGCATGTGTTTAGAGATTTGATTTTCATGAATTTAATCAAATCAGAAAAAACTGAGTCAAAAATAGCTAATCTGAAAAAATATTCTTCATGTCACGACTTTTGCCATATGGATTTAATTTGCGATAAGTCTGAGTTCAGTGAATAACCCTGAATATGTTAAGTATAACCCACACCCTGATTATTACTGCACTGACATATATGTTCTCTCTTGCTTATATCAACACAGACTGTTTTACATGGCTAAGGGTTATGAATGAAAGGAAGTGGCGTTCATTTGATGTGGTGAATATCTGCTCTCTCCCTATGCGGTATGTGCCTGCAGGCAATGCTTTTCTTCTGTGGTTAGATGTAAACAAACTCTGGTACCTCCACCCTTTCATCGGTTCTCAAACTGAATGAACCCACATCTCCCTTGGAATGCACAATTTACGTATGCTTTAACCCTTTCAGGACCAACACTGTGTCAGGACTTTGTTTTACTTATCCATATTTTGGCTCTTATATTTTAGGCGCACCCTATTCTCTATTTGTTAATTTTCCTATTTATGTTACATTAATTATTGTTATCGGCATTTATATAGCGTCAACTTATTACACAGGGCTTTACAATATCATAAAGAGGGAAATTAAAAAAATAAATGAGACAATTACAAAATGTTTCATGAAAAATAGGTGAATTAGGACTCTGCACAAAAGTGATAACAATCGATTTAAAATGTGAGATGTCTTATATTGTTTTCTACTTGGCAACAGCAAAGAGATATTTTTTGTCATTTAGCTTGCCAAAATCATTTTATGTTTATATTTAAAAAAAAAAAAAGAAACCAAGCACATCGATAATGTTTACATTTAGCTAATTAGAGGTGTAATTCGCAATTCTTTGGCTTAAGAATGCCACCTAGTGGGGATCACAGTATTTGCCTTTCCCACAGTACAATCCAGGATCCAATCCAGGAAGGCCTATTCACTAAGGTAAACATTGTCAAGATTTTAACATTTTATACCAGAATTGCTGTACTGAAAACACAGCTTCCTTCAATTTTTTTATCTTGACCTATACTTTTAAAGGGACACCCAACTAGACAAAAAGATAGATATTACTAGTTAGTAGCTGATTACTCACAATAAATACATGCTTATATTCATTGGGGGTATGTCTTAACAGTATTTTCATAGGGAAATAGTCGCGACTGCACAGGAGGTATGTGGGGGAGGCAGGTATGCTGAAGTAGAGCTGCCTGTGACTTCCATTAGTTCAAGGGTGTTTGATTGACAGCCAGGGAGGTGTTTCATTCATTTATTATAAAGTGTCATTAAACTGGGATACTCCTCACCCATAAAGCACTTCAGCAAGCTGTAGTTATTTATGGTGTGTAGTGGTCCTTTATTAACACTTTGCATTCCTGACAAATCAGTTAGAGGATTGAGATACACTCTATTAACTCGACACTATGTAAATCAGTTTGAGTTCAACTGGAATTGTCCAAGAGATCTTACAATGAAGCAGGACACTCTATAATGTATTTCAAATATACATTCATTTTGATCTGAGAATGTATAATGTATTGGTACTGCACTGGTTAGGACCGCCTCACTAGAAGATAAGAGACTCTCGAAAAATCCACATTACCAAAATTCCGGGAAACTATACCTGCGCAATTCGTTTAGGAATAAAACTGATTTAGCCTAATTCACCAATTTAGAAGCATCTGAGTTCATGAACTGGCACAACATGAAAGTGAATTAATCCGTAACAAATTGAATTTTATTCGAATATTAGGGTCGAGTGGCCAGGGGCAGAGCTGTTCTGAGAAACTTATGCATCTTTAATATAATTTAGAACAAGTACAATGTATCTTACTTATAAACACATTTATTGCAGTTTAACCTCCCATGCGGTCTGATTATGTCAGTATTTTTGAATGTTAAACATTGTTTTGTATGTCAATTTGTTGTTTCATATTGTTAGCTTGTAATTCTTAGGAATAACTCACTTAAATCTGTCCAAACAAGAGTCTAGTAGCCATCCCGGATATGATAAAGTTTGAAACCCGAAATCATAAATTATAATATAATAAATAATTATAAAAATAGTATTATAATAATAAATTTAATTAATAATGTAATCAAACCAAAAACACTGAAATTTGTCCAAACAAGGGTGCAATATTACTGGTCACTGTAATACTAGACACTGCATATTGGTTTAGTAAACATCCCAGGTATGAAAAATTTTGAAACATGGGACTGCACAAAGTCTGACGTCACAATCAGGACAATGGAACCTGGTTTCCTTTCTGATTTTCTTTCCACTGTGATGTCGCTTCGAGCAACAAACCATGCACATCCTTGTAAGTGCTGACTTTTTCTTGGTTGGTCGGATGTAGTCCATGAACTGACGACCAGTCAGGCGTTCCGGGTTGACAACGCCAACAGCACGATGTCCAGCTCTAATCACATCCATTGATGGTGTTTGGTGGTTCACAAAGATACGTTCGGCAACTTTCTAAATTAAGTCAGAATGAACCACAGACTTGTCACTCTTTTTTTTTTTTTTTTTTTAACAGAATGTAGGCATTCTACAAGCATTGCTCAAGAAAATGCCCGAAGATCTTCTTGTAGTACTTCTTTTGCTGTTTCCTCATTTCTGGGTAGAATGTCATTGCTTGGTCGGCTCATATCGACACCTCCCATGGTGTTATTGTAGACTATCACTACTTGTGGCTTCATGATTTCTTTCCCACCTTTTGTGCGTGCCATAACAGTGGAGGTATTATGAACTGTACTCATAAGGCACACATCTTTCTTGTCACGCCATCGCAGTGCCATCATTTTGCCTTTTTGCCAGGCAACCATTTCTCCAGTCTTCAGCTTCTTATTGCCAAACATTGGCGGCATGTCGCGCCGGTTAGCCCTAACGGTTCCATACGCATCTGTATTGTTTTGCAGAAGAAACTCATAAAGTTTAGGAGACGTATAAAAGTTGTCGGTTGTTACACAATAGCCCTGATTTAGCAATGGCTCATTGAGTGAAAGAACGGAAGATGTTGCCATTCCATAGCTGCTGTATTTTGGATTGAATTGTGTTCCCTTTCCAGTGTAAATTAGTGAATTCCAAATGTAGGCCAGTTGACGATTTGCATAGCATGTAGGATTCTACACCAAATTGTGCTCTCTTTGATGCAATTTATTGTACCCAGCTGAGCCTTCCCTTGTAGGCCATTAGACTTTCATCTATGCTGACATCTCTTTCTGGCACATAGCTCCGTTAGATATTCTTTAGAATCATTTGAGATACATAGTTTTGGTGCAGGATGAATAGTTTCATCAAATTCTTTGTTGTTTTCGAAGTGTAAAAATTTCATGATCAGGAAAAATCTGTACTCTGACCTGACCGTACCGAAGAATGGAGTGGCAAGTAATTTATGAGTTGTCCAATACCACTTCTGCAGGGGTTTCCCCACCACTCCTTGAAGTATTATTAGTCCCAGAAATTTCCAAATGTCATCTTTGGTCATTGGTTCCCACTTTCTGCTTCTTGAAAACTTCCGATGCAGAGTAGATAACTGTTGCTCTTTGTACCGGTTTGTCTCAGTAACAATTTTTTCAATAACCTCATCGGTCAGAAATAATTGTAAGTATGCCCCGGGGTTGTTGTGTTCGACGTCTTCTTTCATACCAGATTATGTGTATTTGAACTTTTTGTTTTTTTATTTCCCGCCTGTTTCTGCCAGGTGGCGCTCACAGGGAAAGTGAACCCAGAAGACGGACACTGTGGGAGGACACCACGGGCTCGTAGGGACAAGGTAAGTGATAATACAGTGTAATCCTGAGCTTGGCTCGGGGTTACTGCTTTTGGTACTGAAAATTAACCCCAAGCCACTCTTGGGATTACCACCAGGGGGGGTTAAAGACACATTACTGGGAGTATTATTGCTGTGGAGCTCTGTAATACACTCAGACACCAACAATATTGAGCTCCTAGAAAAGAGGGAAAGAGGGATTTGGACAAAAATAGTGACTGTCCCTCCTAAATACGGACAGCTGGTAGGTATAAATTAGGGAACCAAACAACTGAAAGGGCAAAATTACAGCTCAGAAAATAAAAACAACAAATGTATACCTGAATCTGGTCTGTTGAATTAACTCGACTGTTCCAATAGTCATCATCGTGCTCCTGACTGGGATCATGTGGGCCAAGTTGCAGTTAAGCCCTCAATGTTGGAGAGGTGCCTGCACCTATATGAGTTTTGGGGTGTCAGGATCGGGCTCGCAGGGTCTGGTGGGCATTGTTTTAACCTCTTAACTAGGACCAAGCTTAATTTGTTTGTTTTTCACTTCATGACATAAGCAATCTCTGCATCTTTGCTATGTACCAACAAACATTATATACTGTTTTGTAAAGGACAAAAAGGGCTTGAATTTGAAGTGACATATACATATATAAATTACTCATTTACAGTTTTGGCAGTAATAATGTGTTCGTAATTAATGCAACTTAAGAAAAATGTATTCAAAATAAATACACCCTTTAAGCATTGCAACTAAATAAATTATTTTTTTTCTCATGTACATAGTACATAATAAGTCAAGGATTCCAGGTCACAAAATGATTCTAGGATTACAGCTCACAAAATACAAGGAGTAAAAAAAATTTTCAATGTGGAGTGATTTTAGAATTTGGAATGCTTATCTTGTAAGCTTAATAGCCATCGCAGAAAACAAAATTGCCACAATAATATATATATATATATATATAAAGTAGACATCATGGGCTTTTTACGTAAGGGTATTTTAACACTTTATATGTAGCCATTAAACGTTCAAGCTCTACTAAATATTGCAGTAAACATTTGTTTTTTTTTCTGATAGTTAATATACACATATAGCAAGCTTATTTTAATGTGAATTTTGTAAACCTGATGTCTGTACAAAACCCCATAATGTTTTAACCTACATCTACAGATAAATACTCCCCAATGTATGCCTGTTTCATTATCCTACGAAGCTACAGCTCCAATAGACCTGACCATTTCAGTTTTTACACTTAGAATTTTGAGTGACTGATTTGGTGGGCGCATGTCTTTTTTGTATTTTGAGGCGTTATACCAGGGGTGCCCAAAAGGTAGATCCCAAATGTTTTAAACCTACAGCTTCATTGATCCTTTGTCATTCTAAAAGCCTGCAAAGCATCATGCAAAACCCCTCAAACTGTGCTCAGCAAACTCTTCTAAATAAAGCAATGCCCTCAATGTGTGCCTTTGGCACTATCTTGCGAAGTTACAGTGCCATATGATCTTACTATCTCAGTTTTTGCAGATAGAATTTTGTTACATGAATTTGGGAATTGTAGCAGTTTGACAATTCTAATTACCCCATAAATGCATACCATTTGTGAAAGTAGGCACTACACAGTATGTCATATGGAACATTTTGAGCCTTATTGTACATCGACTTTAGCATCAATTTCTTTCAACGCTTACGGCATTATTTTATTGGCATATTTTTTACATTGCACATTGCAATTTAGAGGTTAATTTTGTAAACTTGACGTTTCATACTGTTAAATAGCACTAAATTGTTTTTGTAAAAATACATGGCTGAAATTATAACTTGCCCAGTGCAGATTTTTAAACAAAAACAGCAAATTGAAGATTTGGTGCAATCAGTTGATACTTGAGTGTCCCTGAATTTAACCCTGCTCACACAGGGTTAAAGACTCATTTAAAGAGCTGCATGCTGTGCTAATTTTCAGCGCTGCATGCAGCTCAGCTGTCACTCTGGGGAACCACTAAATATGACCCCAGTTGACAGAGGGGAGAACTATTTATACCTCGGTTTTCTGGTATTAACAAGGATTTAACCCTGTTTACATCGTAATCTAGCTATAGGCATTACATGCCTATTTAAGGAGCTGAATGCAGCTCACCTGTCAGTCTGGGCCACTAAAAAGGCCCTGCTGACCAAAGGGAGCCCCAGGTGTGAATTGATTCCAGGGATACACTGGTTTAAGCAGGGATTGTACCCTTTTAGCATTGCAAACTGATCATCGGTCAATTTTGGACCACTAATTTTGACCCCAGCTGAGAGAGCGGAGTCCCAGGTATCAAATGACACCAGGGGTTCCCAGTTACCAGCAGGGAAACAGTCCCTAATATGATGATGTATTTAATCAATGTGAATATCACATAAAAATATTCAGTTTTTGAATGTAAAAAAAATAAAATACAAATGTTTTAGAGGTGTGATTATTTCTGCATGGCTGAAGTTTTGAATAATCAACTGATAAAATTGATGAGATTTCTTTCCAAGTATTAAAAACACAAATTTTTTTTTTTTTTAAATGAACTTTTTTATTTTTTATCACAAAAACAATGTGGAAAAGAAAATCACCAAGTTTTAGAGCAATTCAAACAATTACAAAAAAACTAAAACATTTTAATAACAACAATCAGAATGTTCACCATTTGAGCATTTTTTTCTAACCAACTCAAAAGATGACTGACCTCTTATTAAGACTCATCATCTCGGTCCCTCCGAATGTTCTTCACATCAGCCATGTTAATAGGTTCAAACCTGCCCTGATAATCATCTTTATTCAGGACTAATTAAGGAGTTAACGTCCACTCCATTATGTTTCTTTACCATGGTGTGTGAGCACCAAGACATCTTTATCAACAAGATTGCAATATCAGTTTAACAATTATAAAAAACTTAAATAAACAGATAGAAAATATTCGCAATAATGTTAAAAATATAAAACAACAGTTTAAAGGTAATACAGATTGTCTGAAAGCTCCAGACCAGGCTCTTTGTGAATACTCTGTCCCACGAGGAAGGTCAGTTTGTGGGCATACTGGCAGGGAGCGGGCACACGGATAATTCCCTGTACAAAAAAAAAAGAACATTGTTATTAACATAAACACAGTGTGTGTATTGGGGCAGTGTGTGTATGGGGGGCAGTGTGTGTGTATGGGGGCAGTGTGTGTGTATGGGGGGCAGAGTGTGTGTAGGGGAGCAGTGTGTGTATGGGGGAGAATGATTGTGGGTCTGTGGGTTGGAGGGTAGATTAGTAAATATATATATTTTTTTTTATTAAAAAAAGTTATTTTGATATCCCCCCTCCCTGCTCACATTTGGGAGGGGGGGCATCTCCTGCAGTCCCTGGTGGTCCCAGTGGTGAGCTTGAACTCTAGCAGCCTCAGGAGCTACTAGATTTTACTCTCGCGAGATCTGGAGTGTTGCTGTGCAGGTTAGAGCACCCCCCGGTCTTCTCTCCCTCCCTCCCCTGCCGGCTGCCAGTAGTTCACATTGAGCGGGCCGGAGAGGGAGATCTCTGATCTCCCATCTGGTCCTGCAGGGCCGGCAGGGGAGAGAGTGGCACCTTTCCCGGTGCTATGATCAATAGCTTGCGGCAATTTATTGCCGTATGCAAAATCTTTCACCCGACAGTGTAGTCGGGCGAAAGCTTTCGCGAACCAGCAATAAATTCTTGCGGACCGGCGTTGGTTCGTGGCCTGGGGGTTGGGGACCCCTGTGTTAAACAAACTCAGACTGGGACTGTTGCAAAGTCCCTGCCGCAGAGGCTTCCTAGGAATGGCAGATGGATTACTGTAGGATCTGGTAGACTTAGAGTAGTGTATGAAAGGCATACTGCACAGCCTGTGTCTTTACATAATTAATTTTCAGCACTTTCAGAATGTAGTGGTGGTATGGAGACCGAGTTTGAGGAACCACCTTCCTCTATGTCTAATCTGTGTAAAACTGCAGTCAATGACAAAAAATGACAAGGTAAAGCCTGATAAAAAAAGCAGTTGTTGTTGGGGGTTTCTATTATAACAGGTGTGGAGTCAGAAATTAGTGGCTTTGTGAAATACCCTCCTGGAGCT